GTCTTTTGTTTCATCGACCCCCCAAACCCTGGTTGGTTTTGGAGGATCGACTCGTATACCAACCGGGGGATTTCTTTTTTTATTATTATTTTTTTAGGGAGTCGACTCCCAAACCTGTCGAAGGTTTTGGGGGTTCGACTCCCATTTTTCGGGGATTCCGGGGCTTGGGAGTCGGCTCTCCATTTTTTGGGAGTCGTTTAACCAAGCCCCTTTTTTAATTATCAAGAGTTGGTTTAAATTTCAGGCCACGGTCTTAATTACTTAGAACAATCAGGAAAAAAACCAGAAATTTTTTCAGATGGGGTGTTGATGACACGAAGCTTGATCCCAGTCACTATGTTTTCTATGTCCACAGACCCAGTCAAGTTGATCTCAATATAAAGGAAGAGCTTCTACAATCCAAGCTGTAGCATTTAATCTGAATAATATTGTAAGACTTGGAGGTGATTTTTAATTATCAATTGGAGATGATCAGAATGCAGATCTGGTGATTGTGAGTTGATTTTATTTAGGACTCCCTGATTAATTTCTGAATGTTTTTGTATGAGTACTGATCAAATGTCTGCTCTGAATGGGTTGAGGTTTGCTTTCTCCCCCCGAAACAATCGCTTGGGGCTGTTCGGGTTGTTGTATGTTGTTATGCGTGTTGCTTATGTAATGGTCTATGTAGCCTCTACATACTCTCTCGTGTTCTTGTTGGTTCCGTTCATATCGGTATCCCTTATCTTTTCCTTCTTCTTCTTCTTCTTCCACTTGCCCCAACCCCATCGAATCCCAGAAACAGATCAAGAAGCAGTAACTTGTATAGAAGATGGAAAACGATCAAACCACAAGAACAACGAAGACGACGACGACGACGACGACGACGAAGGAAACGACAAACGAAACGACTCAAGAACTAACCATCCCAGCCTCATCAGAACTCATCACCGAACCAACCCAACTACTCGGACTCTTCCCAATCGAACAAGACCATGAGACCTTTGACTCACTCAACATCCTCTCAGAACTAGCAACCTCAGTAGTCCAAACCACCCAACAACATCCAAACCAACCTCAACAGCAAGAACAACAACAAGAACAAGAACAACTAGAACAACAAGCCTCGATCTCAGATAATGCATTCCAAGCACTACTACTAGCCTCACTCTCTGACCCATTCCCAACCAACCCATCCGCATCATCATCATCCTCAAACTCATCAGCAAACCAAAGAAAACAACAAAAGCAACAACCATCATCATCATCCAACTCACCGTCATCACCCACTTCAACCTTCAACCTACTCAGCTCACTCGACTTCCAACAACTCTCATCATCAACAATAGCAGCAACAGCAACAGCATCAGCCCCTCAATCACAACTCCAACATCAACAATCCCCTGCCCTCGAACAACTCAATCTCCATCTCTCACCCGATACAAACCAACTACAGCTCAACAATAATAATATTCAATTCAATCACTCAAACGAACACCATTTTATCACCCAACACCAACATGCCCAGGATCTACTCTCTGCTCTATCCGCACTCCAAACCGATCCAAACCAACTCAACAACACCCTCACACAAGATCCAATAGAACTCCATCATCCTCATCATCATCATCATCAACAGGAAGAACTTGACTTCGATGACCCAACCCTCTTCTCTCCCTTCGACCCAGAGCAGGACCAAATCCCAAACCAACCGGTCTCTCTCACCGATCAAATCGACCTCCTCTTCGGATCTCAACCTCTCACCCCTCAAGCCTCATCATCCTCAACAACTGCAGCCACCTCTAGGAAGGTCTACTCAAACTCATTCTCATTCCAACAACAACAGAATCAGCAGCAACAGCAGCAACAGATCGCAAACCAACAACAACACCAAGACCTTCTCAACCATCTCGACAGTCAACTCGATCTCTATAACCATCTCCCTCTCGACCAGCATCACGAGTTCAACTTCCTCTTCGATCCTGACTACCAAACCAATCCTCATCCACTCCATCAAACCCAAGAGCAACAACATCTAGACGAATATCAATCTTATTATCAGCCTCCCGATGATCATCAGGATACCGATGATCTCTTGGCCAGATTGGATCATGGTATCATGATCACTCAGGAGGAAATCAAACTCAATAAACTCGACGGCTCGATCGAAGACTCGTTAAATCTTAATCAAGTTTATCTCGATCAGATCAAAAAATCGCTCGAGCATCTTAACTCATTGCACCAGAAAGCTCAGAAATTCTTGGTCGGTACATTCCCTTCCATCCTAAGATAAACAAAACAACTCCCTCCCCCCCTTTTCACTAATGTTCTTTTCGGATATGAATCAAATATAGTCGATTTCGAAACACTGTGTTCAAGAAATCCAGCAACAACAACGATCCGCGTCCTCATCCAAACTCTCTTCAACCCACCCCGCCCCGCCCGATCCAGCCGCGAAGAACCTGAGTCTAGTCTCCGACCAGATCTCGGCGATCTCCTTGCCTTGGTTCAAACATCAATTCGGAGTGGTCAGTCGCTACCTTTTCTTTTTTTTCTTTACCTCTTCCTTCCCTCAGTCAAAAAAAAGTACTGAAATCTGTGGGGGTTGTGTGCATATTTAGGACCTGCCTAGTTTCGAAGATGCTAAGAAACGAGACCAGTATAATAGTCTCTTGCACCAACAACCATGTCAGTCATTCCTCTCTCTCACTTCCTTTTTTCTCTAAACTTCTTCCTGAATGGCATCTTCTGGGGACACTGGCGATGATATAGGGCAGCCTCCTGAACGCAGAAAGTTGGACGACGAGGTGGCGGGGATATTGCGACTAAACAACCAAAACAGGAGCGCGATTGATTGGGATCGGGTGGCTAAGAATGTAGCTCTTTCTTTCAGATAGCTTACTCTTTTTTTTTTTTTTTGATCGGACACTTGACAAAGGTTCCTGAAGAAATTCACTGTCGTTTTTGTGGTGATCGTCTTTAGTTCCCCGATCGGAAGCCGATCGAATGCAGATGCTATGGACCCACAAACAGGACTCTTCACTCAAACAATCTAAATGGTCCTTGCCCGAGATCGATCGGGTGTTCGACATCGTCAAGAAGTTGAGTTT